AAAAGTAGAAGCCTATTGCATTTAACATGTATAGGGTGTATCTGTATCATAGAAATCATGATCACGACATGTTATTATGTCTATAGTCACAGAGCACAGTTTTGATTAAGAAACTGGTTGATTCACATTATAAAATGGCATATTTATAAGTATTGTTATGTTAAGTGAAAAATAATTCTTGGTTTACCAATATATTTTTCCACAGCTGCGTTGAAAATTAAATATTTAATTGTTACTTTATTTGCAACTTTCCATTAAGTCTGAATTTTACTCTAGATTCCCACCCATACTTTCCCTGACTTATGAAACTCTTTTTAAAATGAACTTACATAGGCTATTGTATTCCATATAATACATGTTTAGCAATTTATTGGAAACAAGAAACGGCCAGCCATTACACAGAGATCAACAGATGCTTTTCACTAATAATACAGTGAAGCCCAAACGCAACAGAGACGAGCCTACGTAGGCTACGTTGACAAGGCGAAAAAACATAACTCAGAGAAAAACGTAGCACTTTCGTTACTTTTTAGCATCCACGGTTACGCATTAACCTTTTGTCCATTTGTCCTAACACAATTAAGTAATTGAGAAAATAAGAAAAAAATAGGCCTACACTTGAGAAAATAAAAAAGGACTAATATGTAAAACTGAATTATTCCGAACAATTACAAACAATTTCGTTCAGAGTAAACTATTCAAACGGACATTATCGCGCGAATGGGCTTACCTAGCTTTTTACTGTTTCCCTCCCTTGAGGTTTAAATCAGTTCGTAAAGTAGGAATTGCAAAACTGTGACCTTCTCACAACTCCAAGTTTAATCCATTGTGTGAGGTAGACAACGTGCTCATCATAGGTGACAACGAGCGCAATCTGAACCCAAGCAGTGGAAATTTCACATGATAAGGGAGGGACCTCCCTCCAGGAAATTGTCAATCACTTACCGTAGTTGCGTTGTACACACACACACACACACGCACACACATAATATAATGAGGACTTCTCTCTGACACAATGGTTTTATACTAATGTTTATTATACCCTAACTTCACAAAACGGTAGCAGATTGAAAGTGACACAATTTGACTAATTTAGTGGCCTTGTGTCACTATGTGTAATATGTGAGGATGTTTTCCAAATAATTTTGTGCTTAATGATATAGACAAACCACATACAGGCCCCTGGAAGTTAATTTTCCACATGTGTTAACCGTATTCATAACATTTAATCTGTTCAGTAATGTTACTAAAGGCATGTACTGAAAATGAGAGACTTTTTGTCTCTCAAAAAGTTTAAATGAAAAGTTTGTTGCAAAGTTCAACCTTATATGTTTGCATTTTTATATTAGCAATAACACTTAAAAAATGAAAAGATTTTAAATGGAAAACAAAGTTTGAATAGGGTCTATAGCTTCTTTAGTAATTAAAGTTAAGCTTCACTGCACTTTTGGAGTTAGCCAATTATCATTGAGGAATGCTGGAAATTTCCATTTCCATAGCTCAAAGTGAACTCCCTCAGACAATGGCTTTGAAGTGTTTTCTTTCCATGCCAAAAGCCTTGGGTCCAGTTTCAATCAGATGTAGATAGATTTTTCTGTATACCCGGGGATGTGTTTAGTGTAGTGCTCTCTTTTAGTGGGTTAGAAAGACCATGTTTTCCTTTTGAACCCCTTGAAAACATCCTCAGCATTCCATTAATTCAGCAGGTATGCAATTTTCCAAAACCATTTCCATTATAGTCATAGTCCTGCTCATGCTCCAGTTATATCACTAAAAGACTAGCAGGACAAGGTCAAGCTCACAAATTTGTTGATTGGAGTTGTGCTAGAGCAGACAGTATGTGCAAATGGCAGAGAGAGAGAGAGAGAGAGAGAGAGAGAGAGAGAGAGAGAGAGAGAGAGAGAGAGAGAGAGAGAGAGAGAGAGAGAGAGAGAGAGAGAGAGAGAGAGAGAGAGAGAGAGAGAGAGAGAGAGAGAGAGAGAGAGAGAGAGATCTGGGATGGTGAGGTGTATATCTCCCACTTGTTCCTTCAGGGTATCACTTTTAACACTTCTGCCTGTCCACCTTTTGCAGTCTTACACAGAACCTTTTGTTTCTACTCCTTCAGCCACACCCCCGCTCCACAGCCTGACCTCTTCTACCCACTAACCTACAAACCCCCATCCTCTCCAGTACAGTTTTTGAGAGGAGAGAGCTTGATGCCATGCTTAAAACAATGCGTAAGATCCCTGTAGCATGTAATTATTCATTCTTATGCCAAATTTAAGAATGAATTATTGGTTCAGTTGTCTTAAACGGCCAGTCCAAAAGTTGACTTGAACTCTAAGTGAAGCATCATGCTATTATGGTATACGTGGGTGAATCGTGCATGTGAGGAGCTGTAAAGTAAAACTCACTGAAATGCTGAAAATGTTGATGAGCCGTTGTGTGCTACAACACCTCAAGTGTTCTCTTTCCATCCTGTGCTTAAAATGCAAATGGGGCAACATTGGGTCGGCTCCGGTAGTCTGCCACATGCTGAGGTTGTATGTATGTGCTGTGGTATGGGCAGTGCTTGTGTATGTTGGGGGGTTGAGGGGGGTCGTCAAAGATCTGTGGGACACAGACAAGGAGAGTCTTGCAACCCTTTGTTCTTGAGCTTGGCCATGTGGACTCGGCACAGTCAAGAGCAGGCCTTTGACACCTATTGGGGCATCTCAACATGCGTTCTGCTTTCGTCAAAGCACTGCAGTCAGTCAGAGTTTGCTTCTAAACAGCGTTTCACCTCACTAACGGACAAATACAAACTAAAGGTGCGCAGAGATAAGGAAACATTTTTAGATGCCATTTTCCCTTATTTTCTAACAATCTAACTTAAGTTCGCTCTGGCAATATTAAAATGTATTTATTTGGATTTCAATGTGATTTTTTTTTCAAGGAAATAAACTATTAAGGTTTTTTTTTTCTTTTATGAAAATGTATTTGCAATTCCTTTACTTTTTTATAGCAAGCATGGTTATTATTCATTTCTATTGAAAATGGCAATTAAAAGGAGAGTTCACACAAAAATGAAAATTCTGTCATTACAGAATTTTCATTTTGGGGTGAACTCTCCCTTTAAGTGACTTAATATAAATTAAGTTATTTGATAGAATACGAGAAAATACACTGAAGAAAATAAATGCACCCATGTGCTAATAATGAATAAATATAGTACAAAGTAAACTATTCAAACAAACAAAAACTTAATTAAAATGTCAATTGTTTTAAATTAGTTTGCCGTTACTCTTTTTACTATGCATTGGTCTAGTGTCTTTAACCCACACACAATTCACAGAGGTCATTATTTCCTGTAATGGGGTTTGTTATCACGCATATAAATTACAAACAAAATAAAAATGTGTTTTAAGCCATAGAAATGTAGACTCACCGAGGTGAGTTGGGAATTCTGGGAATTGTATAACCGCTTTAGTACTTATACAGCAACTTGTTAAAAACTTACATTAAAAAAATAATAACAGCTTCAAAATTTACCAAAAAAAGATTCATCAGTTTATATGTTGCATAAAATATTTTTTTAATTAGTTACAGTTAAGAGTTAATTTTTTTTAATGATAATATATAATGTGCTGAAAAAACACTATTTGAATTAATTTGCATATTAAATGTCCTATTTGTTGGATTGTGATTTAGTATTATTATTATTATTATTTATTTATTTTTTGGAATTGCTATTATGGAAGTCAATGGCTACTGTCATCTTTCTAATTACCAACATTCTTTAACATATCTTCTTTTGTGTTTGTGAAGAAAGAAAAATTATACAGCTTTGGAACAACTTGATGGTATAAATAAATGATGAAAAGGTTGTTTTTTTGGGCTATGGCTTTAAATCTTTTAAAAAAGACATTCTATTACAACTAATTCTTGTTGCCTGTAAAGCTATACAGAAAAGAATCACATTCCAGCTTATGACTATGCCTATAACATAACTCAAAAAGAAAAAATAGTCTGTTATTGTCCTGCATTGCTAAAAGTCAAGCCATCTAGTGGCAACACTTGTCCTCAGTGTTTTCTTTATTGTCTGGTTACTGAAAAAAATGTCAAAATGACAAGCTTGATTTGGGAGTACACAGAATGAGACACGTCAACTCCATCCGCACTCCAACTTCAAATATCTCTCTTCTGACAATCATATATATTCTATCATCACAATAACCAACAGCAATGGTGTACTTTGAAAAAAGAAAGACAGTGCTGAAAAAAGAAAGTCAGTAATAGTGCAGTGTAGCTGTTTGCCCAGCTGGTGGCATCAGTTCATTGATGAATATCCATGAATAATGTATCAAAAGTAAACAAAGGCAATGTTTTGACACATGTACAACAAAAGCGATATTTGACAAAAGTCATAAACCATCCTACATCTGAAATGGCAAAAGTGTCCTTTAGACAGATCCGGTAAAATCTTTGATATAAAAAAAAAAAAACCCTCCAAATTAAACTATTCAATACATAATAGCCTATATTTGATAGCCTTTATTTTTTTAAATATAGCCAATAAGAAAACAACTGTCATGCACCAGGGTTTCTAAAACAGAATAGAAAACTATTATTCAAATCAAGACCGGTGATAAATAAATGAAATTTGTAAATAAATAAATAAATAAATAAATAAATGTCTATTTGTGTACAGTTGTTTAATGGTTTATAAAGTTGCTATAGAAAACGTGTGGTGGTTGACATTAAGTTTCTTCAGAGACAGTGCCCTTCAAAAAACAGATGACCCTAGCTTCTTTATAATTATTAATAAGCGAATTGATAAATGCAATACTGTTCAAATGTATTTGTGGCCAAATAGATACAGTTTCCTTTTAAATGTAACCATTCCATGTTATTTGTCTGCTAGTAGTAGAGGACTACCCAAACACAGGATTCTGACAGGATGACGTTTAGCTGTGGGCAGCGACTTGTTAGTGCGCACTTGTAAGACCCACCTCTGTTCATTTTAGCTGTAGCACAAGGTCCCCTCACTGCACAAACACAGAGCCTGTCTGTATGTCAGTTCTCGTGTCATTCTATGCAACCCACCTCTACTCTGGTTTAGGTACCGGTCATCTCTGCATGGAATAACGACCACACGCTACTGTCATGCTGGAAACATGTCGCTATTGGATCATTATTGGATCGGATTAGCAAAATTGAAGGAATGATGAATGAATAAAAAAACGGCGACGTGGATAATCGACAAGCCCTGTTTTAAACCGTCAGCAGTTCTCTTGAATTAGTCGTCAATAACAAGCGTTCAAGACGGACGGCGTACTGGAGCACAGAGGGAGAATCCGCGCGAACATGAGGGAACGGGACTTTATGCCCAACCTAGAACGGGGCAAACCGGCTACATACACGGGAGATAAAAAAGCTAAAATGGCTGCTAAAACCAATAAAAAGTGGGTGAGACTGGCTACTGTATTCGCATATGTTTTGTCAGTGTCTTTGGCTGCTATAATACTGGCAATTTATTACAGTTTGATATGGAAACCGACGTCTGCCTCTGTGTCTGGACGGTCAGATGTGTTGGTGACAGCCGCAATGATGCCCTTAAACACAAGTAATATCACAACAATTGATGTACCGACAATTACCAAGATGAATAATACACCACCGGTGAGTTTGAGATCAACACAGACTCCTACCTACGCCCACTCCACTTCTCAACAGGGACAACTGCACTTGGTTGACAACAAAGGTCATGAAGGCCTACCAAATATCCCCACAACAAAAACAGAGAAAACTGACCAAATAGGAACATTTGACCCAGTACACATTCACGAAAAACCAGGACGTTTCAGTACAGCAGAAGTTAGCGATGAGTCAAAAACTACTTCTCTAGTAGCAGGTGCATCAATTGAACCTCCATCGGCGCATGCAGCCACATCTTCGACTAAACAAAACATCTATGACAGTTCTGGGTTCGGCACCCCTGAGAATCAGCCAAATATTTGGGATTCAGCCTCTCCCACAACTGACCAAGGATCTTTGACAAGCCACAGTGAAAGACCTGACATCTCATCTTTGACAGAACATGGTCTAGAATTAATGGAGGGTTCGTCACCATTGCAAGAGGAGTTGGTTACCAAGGACACAGGGAATGCAGCTATTGGAGTGTGACACCAGATTATTTGTGTGGCATGTAATTATATGACATTATCAGCAATGACTGCACACAGAGAGAAATAACAACTGTGAACGTCATAGAGTTTATGTTAATTTTGTTTCTTTTTCAAGGACAGAAACTGTGTTGACCTACCTGTTTTGGAAAGCTCTTATAAAGGTTGTTAGATTATAGAGTGCAACAGTCAGGCTCCAGAAGTAATATTTACTTTTTTTTACTTCTATAAATTCATTTTGAATGGTAACTTATAAACATCGCCTATAAAGACAGACATACTATGATCTATGAGGTTGTTAATCAACGGTATCGGTGTTTTTATTGAAGATACCAGCCCACATTATTTCTGATCGCACATTATATATATTTTTAATAGAATTTTTAACAGCAGAATTCCTGTTGAAAAAAAAAAACATTACTTCGGAAGATTCTGCAGAGAAATCTCCACCAATCTGATAATTGCGACAAGCAAATTGCGAAAATATGTGAAAAATACATTCTGAACCATCCAGGCTGTTGAAAAAGTGGCCAGGCACTGCTGCACTCTATAATTCGTTTGCAGGTAATCACAGCCACGCTGATTCAGAACAAAAGAAGGATTATATTGCTAGTTCTATAAACATGGAAATTAATATTCAGTAACTTACATGTTAGACAAAAATTTACCAGTTAGTTTGTACATTTCTTTCCAATGAAAATAGTTCCAAGAGAAGTCAAAGCATCAAATCTTTGCATGAGGTACGGACGTAGGCCAGTAAGTTCTGTGGGTGTAAACCTCACTCCTCTTGCCACAAGAGGCATTGAGGCAGTGTTTGGCGTCCTTGTTAGTGTGCCCACCTCCCACGCAGGAGACCCTGATTCAAAACTCGCTCAGAGTGGGTTGAATAGGACTACATTTGGTGCCGTGACCCAAGTGGAAGTGAGGTTTAGGGGGATGCGTGTAACTGACGTAGAGTTGTGCATGTAAACCTCACTCCCCTGGCCTCAAGAGATTGTGGTCTTTAGCACCCTTGTTAGCATGCACGCCTCCCAAGCCTGTGACCGAATTTCGCTTGGAGCGTGTCCAGTAGGACCGCAGCACAGAATAAACGTCTGTCTAGAGCAGCATATGTGAGTGAAGTGGAGCAAAACAAAGTATACAGAGATTTCCTAGCCCTCCTCCTCATTCATTTCAGGTTTTCCAAACATAGAAACATTAATTTGAATAATCTGAGAACAAGAACTAATTGTATAGTGGATAATAAATTAAAATACAGTAACTGCCTTTACATACAAAGAGCGACAGGCTTATGGTTCCTTTGGAACAACATGATTATGTCCTTTAGACAGGATGATGTCCTTTGGAACAACAGGAAATTGAGCCATTCACATCACCAACATTGGACACACATCCTACAGTAGCATCTATTTCATTGTGTAATTGTGAGCAACACTGTTTAAAGCAAGTTAAAACACTTTGCCAATAGAGTTCAGGAATGCTCAGGAATGAAATATCTATCTGAATGCAAAATGCCTGGCTAGAAGAATACACTGTGCAAACTCAACCATGTTGAAAGGCGTGTTTTATAAACCGCCGTGGGTTGAACAACATATAAGATGCAAAATATGATGGATGAATAAACAAATATTTTCCTTCAGTGCACTGTTATTCAACTTGATTTTAGCGTGTATCAAAATGACCCTGCTTAAACATGTTTATGAGGCACTTTTTAATTGTATTATTTATTTTTTGATAACATGATTCATTTAAAAACAAATATGTAAAGTCATCCTTATTTATTAAATGAATAAAATACATTACATTTAAATCTAGAGGTAGTTCTAGTATTAAACAACTTTTTGGTCAATGTTTTAGACCAATATTTTTATATTTATATTTTATATAAACAATAAGACCAACTAGTCAGGTTTTATTTTTAAAGTTAGCAAGACTCTTATCTTATAATTATTTAGTTTATGTATTTCATAATTTTGGCTAAGGTAACCCAAATAGATAACTCTATTTGAAATATGTCAGACTCCTCAAAAAAGTCAGATTTATGTGTCGAACCATTCCGTTTAAAGCACTTTAAGATAGCAGCAGGACACTCACAGTGACCAGATGTCTCCACAAAAGCTCAATGCTCAAAACTGAAGCTTGTTGCCATCTCTGAATCATCAATCTCTCTGAGAATGCATGCAATGTAAAGCAAACCCCACAGATGAGTCTCAGATAATTATATATGCCTAGTCTGTAAAAATACAAATAAGCTTATAGTAAGATGGCATATTGTATATAGGGAATTCACTGGAAATGAATGGATCAAGGGACCGTCCATTAGGGACTTGATGCATTTAATCAGTGCAGTTCTGTCTAAAGGGAATCATTTGCCTTTAACACAGACTTAACATCATACTCTTTCAACTATTTGCCATCAAACCAAAGTAGTCCAATAAAAAAATCTAGAAACAGTTCTAGAAATAAATTTTTTAACTCCTGTTGGACAAGCCATATACGGGTATTTAAAAAAAATGAATGAGTTGCTGCTGGTTTTAAAGTGACCTGAAGTATCTCTCGCCTCCAGCCATCAGTTCCCCATGGGGACTTCTTCATCACATTAAGCCTCCATTCGACCAAACAAAAAGCACTGCCTCTCACCAGATTCCCATTAGGTTTAGATGAGCAAAAAGTGTTGGTGCCATAGCAATATCAATTTAAAATGGGACCTCACTATTTATTTCACCTTTTGGCCCATTAAAAATATAAGGAAACACTTAAGAGAAAATTATTTCAAGTTTATGGTGGATTTTGTCTTTATCCAAAATATAAGTGGAGGACATCTACCACTATTTATAAAAGCTAAATAGCAAATAGTCTTTTTAAATAGACTCAACAACTGAACAAAGATCATCTAACGACCTGGCAGTGGTTAACTGACGCAGAAGTATAAATTGGGCTTCAGGCAGATCGATAGACCACAACATGATTGTGATGTCACAGCAGATGGTGGTTAATTTACCCCGACCTCACACAATCTAGTGTATTATATTATAGGCTAGTTATTTTGACATTTAACCACATAAGACTTGTAGCTACCTTAAAGTTGTCTGTTATAGGCCTAGTCTATTTCTGGCCTATTTTTTATTTTCATTTTCGAATGTCAAACTTTTACAATTTTGTCCAACAGCCCAAGCATAAATACAGGCCTACAGAATGGTGTGTAAAGCAAATGCATATATATATATATATATATATATACACACACATATATATATAAAACAAAAATATATATATATATATATATATATATGGTGTATCAGGCGTAGTGTATCAGGGTGACTCTGAATGGGGTGACAATGTGTATGAAATCCTTGTGGCATCAATCATGTTGATCAATTTCACTGTGAACAGTAAGTAATTTCACCTGCAGCAACATTCTGTCCATCCACTTCAAAGATTAAAGTCTTTTTAATATCAAAGATTAAAATGATTTGTTCTTTGAGTCATAATTCTATTACGGTATATGTTCCAAGAGTTTGTACTGTGAAAGTATTAGTTCACCTTGATTGGCCTCTTTTACCTTTTGTGGATTAACTCAAGTTCTTGATGATACTGTGTGGGGTATATCTGACATTTTACAGGGGGGCGTCGCATGACACATCGCACAAACCCTGTGGGATTTAGAAACACAAGGGGAGCAGGGTGCCCTCAGACAAAAACATTTGTATATCAACCATAGGGCAAGAATAACTGACATATCTTACCTCACCATAATTCATATTAATAATTATTATTTGAATAACAGAAAAGGAAATGAGGGCAAAAGGTAGCCGATAACCCTATTAGCAGTTGACTTCATCTCTCTACATGTACTGTAGGGATATCTTTCAAAAAACGAATACATCCACCTTACCGTTCAAAGGTTTTGAAACACTTGGAAACTAGTGTCCCAATCTGACCTTAAATCATACAGAGATTGAGAAATAGACAGAACTGTGCACGTCACATAACCAGGATTTGCAGGATCCAACATGCATTTGGTGATCAAAAGTAATTGTGTTAACAATTTCTAGTCAAGGTTATTCACAAAGGGGAGGAATTGGTTTGGTGACGCACACATTTAATCTTATCAAATACCATCAAGAGCCAACCTTGATTAATATCTACACTCGTCAAGCAGGCCAAAATACAGTTTTGACACCTTTTCCTCTGTCAAAAACTGATACAGTGAATGATTGTGAAGATGTCATTAAATAAATGTCTTTTTAAATGAACTTATTGCCCACGTTTTTTTTCCATCATTATTGTTTCCCATGCAGGCAACTGAGGTTCTTGGGAAATAATGTCCAGCATGCAGATTCAAGGAACTTTGTTGTCATTTTAAAATATTGCAAGAACGGTTTATGTCCTTTTAAGGCATGCGAGTCTCAAAGCTATATCTCACTTATACAGAATCTGTAAACATTCAAACCCAAAAAGTGGGTCAAGAAAAAAAAAAGACATTTTAACTCAACATACGCTTTATTTTTATTTTATTTTATCTAAAGGCCATTGAGTACATGACTCATCTACACGATTCAAGTCACAGCTTTTCACTCTTTTCAGCTTTTCACCTCTTGTGTGAAAGGACAGACGGTGGGAGTAACAGATAAGGAGAAAGTGGAAAAAGCCAAAAAAAAAAAAAAAAGTGTGAATCTATTTTAGGGGTTTCTAGCATCACATGCATTTGGTGTAAATAAATAAATAAAAAGTTGTGTTTTTCCTTAGGCATTTGACCTGGGTTTCTGTCTTAAATATATCGACATAGGACACATTAGAGTGTGTGTGGACTGGAATAAGGAATCAGCAAGAAAACTAAAGATTTTATAAGGTCTGCCCAGATTGAACGAACAAACCATAGTCGATGAATTCATCAAAGTCACTCTGGACAGAGGCATCTCTTAAATGCCTAACAGACTGGCTAACTAGAAGTGTCCTTTGGTTTATCTGAGCCTCATGAAAGATTAATTCTAAGAGGAGTGACAGCCAATGTCTGTGCTAATTGACGAATAATGAAGCAACTACAAAAGGACCAGGTGGCTGTGAAGTGCAGTAAAGTACACCTTCAAGAGGACCAAGCCCATGAACATATGACTGGAGTGGGTGGATGATGTGTTATGGAAACTCTCCATTACTGAAGTCAGTCGTGATCAGCTTCCATGAGGACCAGACACCCACAGTCATGACAAACAGACCTGCCTTAAAAGGATATCATGAAAACCAGACTAAATCAGAGGGGCACGAAATGAGAGACGGGCTCTCTGGGTCTGTGATCCAAGGCAGAACTCTGCTGTTTTGGAACATATAATTAGGGATAATGGAGAAGAAATTCAATTAGCTGGGTGTAACGGAAACAGACTGCGGCATCAAAGATAAGGCCATTTTTTGAGAAAAATAAATATTTGGTTTAAGTCATTTCTGGTTTTAAGCAATTCTAAAGAAAGTTTTCTGAAGAAATTCTTCATGTTAAAAGGGTTGAAATATACTTTACGTAAGTGCGTGAATAAAAACCAGTAAAATTTATTTGTCATTCTGTCATTAGTCCGAATGTATTTTCTTAGGTAAATTGCAATAAACATACTAACTTTATCAGCAATGTTCTCTTCAACCTAATATATATTTTTTCCTAATGAAATTAAATTAAATTGTGTCTAAATTCAATTAATGTGTGTCTGAACGCGTCATCTAAACGCAACTCCGTGGACCAGCACTAGTAGTGTAGCCAGCCTTGGGTTGAAACTGCGTTCTTCCATTTGATCATAACTTTGACTGACGTGTGTTATCAGCCAATCAGATGTTGATACAGAGTGATAGAACGCCCCAGGGCCCCAGCTATGGGTCGAGGCTAGCCCGCGCGGATGTCATGATGAGATGTCCTGAAGGCCATGACCGAAACCCCATGGTAAACATGTAAACATGATGATGATTTTATTTCTAGACTAAATGTGAACATCAATTTACTCATCTCACTTGCACGAACACTTTCAGTATTCCTCAATATGAATAAAAACAGTAACATGCAATCTCAGAATTTTACAAAAAACTTCGATAATTAACTATATTAAAGGTGCTATATGTATTTTTAAGCGGCCTCTATGGGCTATGCACGCATTAGTTCCGCATTTGACGCAAGTATGCTCGGCAGTTTCCGGTTGGGGAGATTAAAGCGGAGGAGAACCGAGGAAAACGGGATTATGGCAGAGTCTTCAAAATTTACTGTCCTCCCGTCTTTGAAATGAAACTTTCATATGTTTAGATGTAATTTTATGTATAGTTATGTTTAATATAATTTTAAAAAGAAGCATAAACACAACGAGGGGTGTCTGTTTTGTCTGTTTTTGTCTGTTCTGAACGTTTTTTTACTATAACCATGAAGTATAAAATTCAATATAAATTCTCGGTATTGCATTGGACTCTACAATCGGTGGAAGTTATCAAGCATCCTTAGACCTTCACCGGAAATACCACCGTGCAGAGCCCATTGGTGATGTTTCAGATTGCAACCAATTTTTACAAGAGTGCTCGTGCTTTTGCGCGTGCTCGAACATCTGATACACGGCCACAGTGAGACTTTTAACACACCAGAGAAAGCATCACGTGACATGCTGGAAACTCATG